CGAAAATAAAAGTATTTAAACCATCCTTACTGGTTTTAAGTTATTCAAGAAAAGATTTAAGTGCAAAGAATTTCCTAGCAAACTTCGGCGAATTTGCGCGTATTTATCTACTTACCTATATATCTATCTAGCCGCTGACGTTTGAGGGCTCTAATGGGCATTTCTAAACTTGGAGAGAACCAAAATAATCATGAGAGGGTAAGATAGTTTGACGAGTATAACGTGCTGACAAAGACAAGAATAATGTTCGAATCCCTTTACCGACATCGTCAAACACTTTCCGCCAGACAGTGGCACATACCCGCGAGTGGGCATGGGCTGCTGGAATGTGGGTATGCGCAACAGGTGATGGATAGTTAGTATCTACCCAGAAACGACGAGAACACACATAATGAATTTTAACACGTGAGCGTTAAGCAATACCAGACATTGGTAGCGTCGACCCAACGAATGCAAAGAAATAATGTCAGAGTCCTAGCTGGAACCAAACTCAAGCATTCTGCGTGGTGATGAAGAATTTTACGCCAGGTCTCGGAACTGCTTTTCCAATCGACGCTAATCTTTGTGAAGCGTCAATAGTAGTTGCAGTGCTGCCTACCCAATTTTATATGCATATAAATGTACTGCTTTTATACAGCCGTGACGTCGGGTTAACGTCAATTGGGGTTAGTTGCCATGCACTGAAGTTAGTTTATATAGCAGCGTTTAGGGCCAGCATCCTTGCGACCATCAGCACTTCATATCTGCTCCTGAGGTTGCTAATACGCATGTTCGAGTTTAAATTGTTTCGCAAGAGCAAACAAATCGTTATAGAAACATCTGCAAGTCTTCAGCATATGTCTGTGCTTGCAACATTTGTACATATACATAGCGTCATTTCATGACGTGTTCCTTGGGAAAAAAATTGCAACGCGGTCACCATCCCTTCGCATGCTTCGCATAACGCTGAGTTCCTGGCACGTAGGATGTGACGAATGTTTATCTTACTCTGTAACTATGACTTCCTTTCAAATAAAGTAAAAGGGGAGAGGTGTACAAGGACAAAGGTTGTATGATGCCACGTGTTCTGGGAGTGCATCTTTGTGTGGATTATTAGAATTTATCTATACACAGATTCATTCCAAAGTACTGATTAGCTTCAGATTAGCTCTGCACCTCTATTGCTAGACTCTTGAAATTATGGTTGAAGAGGTGGTAAAGAAAGCCAATAAGTCAACTATTAGATATTTTTAGTAACCAGGCTTGTAACACGCGTATTTTCATGTCTTATTGTCCTATGCGTAGCAGGAGTTACATAGGCAAATCAGGTAAGGCACTTGAGAGCAGAAGAAATCTACATTTTGTTGATACAGTGAAGAAACTACTGATATCAGTGGTAATGCCTTTTTATGTAGTGCGAGATTATTATGAATGTTCAATTTTCAAATCAATTCGCCAAGCTTTTGCTCGCACAAAGTTCATCAAATATAGCGACTCCTGTTTCTACTACAAGGTGAATTTTACTTCAGCATGAGGCTGTAAACATTTAACAGTGAGCTTTAGAACCTCTTTGGTATACGAGGTACCATGCATGCAACAAAATATTGTTACATTATCTGTCTCTAACTGGTCTTGTGGCTTTTCGGGAGGATATATGCATGCTACTTTTTTCAGCTTTCTTTGCAGCGGGCTTCGGCTACTTCTCCCGCTTCTAAATGCAGTAGTATCCAAAATCGGTGTTGACAATGAGTCTTTACTCAGTTTTGCGCCTAAATTACTCTAATAACTGAATATTCAGTCGCTCACGTGCATGTTTCAAAGTTAAATTGCCAGTTCTAGAACTTTAACTTTCCTCCTTCATTATTATTTCTTCGCTGACATTCTTCGTGAGCGTGTTCTTCACCTGATCGTTAAGATAGAATATTTAGGTGGCACATATCAACACTGCTAAGAAGTTATTTTCTTACCCTAACCAAGAGAATTCATCTTGTTAAAGAAAACTGAGACACCACATATTGTTTACAAATCTTGTACTGCTTGAAGCTAAAATTATTTCGCAGGGACCTTATTTACTGCACTAGCGTGATACGGGACATTTATTTGTTATATTTATTGCATCCTTGAAGTTTTTGTTTTAGTTGTATATTTTTAGTGGGTGTTTTTTTAAAAACTAAAACCTCTGCAAAAGAAAAACAAAATGAGGAAGTTCTGTAAGTATTTATTGAGTAACAAACACATCGTAACATGAGTTTTTGAGGGCTGAGTAGGTGTGGAATGACAACAAGTCTCGTTTTTTAGGCTTACTGAGTATTTGCCTGTGGCCCAATCGCATGCGATATCTGCAAATTTCCGTGCATCAGGTCTGCTCCGTACACGTGTCTGTTTGCGAGAAAATTATGTTTTCATTCGCCTCAGCGTCACCCATTGCTTCGATGAAGCTTCCTTCTTTTTGTGACTCCTGGCTCTCAAAAAAATGTCGCAATTGTGGCGTCAACTAAATTGGGGATAACTGAAAAAATACTGCTAAAAATTAGCAGAAGTGTTTTTTTCTTTTGAGTGCCAAGGTAAACTTTGTGAAGTGTCGCCAATTAACGAGGTTGTGCCAAAATGAATGATACCTATCAAAGTAGAGCATTCTTAAATGGCTAGTATGGCTTCCTAGGTCCAAAATTTTATCAATGCTCCATTTTTACAAAGTTTCCGTTCTCGCATTATTGTGGGCTCAATTTAAACTGTAACAACTGTGAATCTACAGAAATTGTGTCGGAAGAATGCTTGAAAAAGAAACTGAAGCATCGTTGCAGAACATGCCGCTCAACATTGCGAAAGTAAAGGCAAATTCGGTCTATGGCAAATGGACTTGTAGAAGTGAAGCAGCGTTCACGTACATGTAATTATATACTCAACTTGCCCAGACTGCGAAAAGGAAAGGCCATTAAAAAAACTATCTGCCGATTTTCTGCGTTGCAGGACTAATGTCCAGAAGCCTAGTAGACCGCTGTTATGAACGACCCCAGCTACGACGTCCTGCTCCTGGCTTGGAGCTTTTCTGTTTTCTGTAGACAATGCGAACACTTATCACACCGTAATCTATAGCGCTTCTCAAATGGAAGCAGAAGGGTTGCCAAAAATAGGCTAACGATGAAGCCATTATTGAAGTCACGTTTTACAGTCTCAAGAAGTTTTGTATGTAACTAGCAGGTTATTCTACTTAGTGTATATTTATTGTGGAGGAGAAAAGCATTTGGTGTATGGTATTTGAGGTATAAAGCATTGGTTATGCCCGTGCAGTAATTCACACATACTGCAATCGCAGCAATAATAGAAATTGTTTGAGAAGAAATCTCTTTAGGTTCCTCAGTGGCGCACTCTGCGGGTGTGACGAACAAAAGTAGACTGCAGAACAACAATATTGAAACTTAGCGATATATGAAATTCAATCCTCTATAGCATTCACTTTTTCCTGAGCCTCTGCCATATACAGACAAAAGTTTTGTTCTCAAAATCTAGTAAATAATCACTAGTAAGCGTTAGATAACTGAAGTAGCGGAGTAAAAGATCATAGATGAAGCGAAAGTTTCGGTTAATAATTGTATGAGTCGTTTTCTGTTGGACCATAAAAGCACTGGTTTTGATTTTGACAATGCGATCATATGTGGCAGTGTATGTGGTACGGTTATGCCTCAAGCAAAGTATCCACGGGAGAAATAAATGAAGGTGAATTTTGAACAGTATCGATCAATTTTCCGCTTGTTTCGTTATCGGTAATTTTTTTCTTTTGCCGCTTCTTGGTGATAATAATATGTTGTCTGCACAGCCATTGCCTAGTAGCTCTAATAGAAGCCAATGCACATGCGGTTTTGTGGAAGTGTCACATAGGACTGAGAAGGATACGTAGACAAAATCAGTGGAGATGAGTCCAAGACGCGTCTCACAAAAGCTTATTTATATATAAGGCGTGCTCGTGGAGCGGATCTCACTGCACTTCTCAAGTTTAGCCAACACACAAGGTGATCAATGCATGTGTGTGAAGTAGTACGCGATGGCTGTGTCAGTATACCGAAGAGGCGGAAACTTCCTAAATCTCCAATGAGTTCGCAATCGGTAGTGGTAGCACCGCTTTTACCACTGGCGGTTGCCGAGAATGATACTAAAAATAAATCAAGAACAGAAATTTTTTTTATAATGTAAATGTTGACGTCCCAAAATGAAAAGAAAGGTTGAAAAATTGAGAGGAGGAGGGCTGCCGCGAGAGCGCTCCTTTCCCGCTTTTCCTGCAAGTGTAATGCGCTCGTGCTTTCTTTCAGGTCCGCCACACGCTTGGGCAATGCGAACAAAAAATTTTTGTAATGTTTTTTTTTAGATTTGTTCATGTTTGCTGGAGAGGTGAAAGTTAAGCTGGCTGATTTCAGTAAAAAGGATGTGGATCTACAGAAATGACGTTATATTGTATGTTGTTAGAAAGAACAGACTCACGTAGTGTCAAAGTGTTACACTACAAACGCCGCCTTAATTTTCAATTAACATATGAGCATCATGAGCAAACGTTGCACAAAGAATATCCAAACCAATGTGAAATTTATCAAGAATCGCGAGCAGGTTACGTCTTATTTGACTCAATCATCTTTCTTACGATGGCGCGCATAGTTTTCTTACAGAACTTGAGTACCAAACGAGACTGAAGTTGCTGAAGTGGCTTCAAGTTGTCAGAATTTTTTCGAGAAATAACGTCGCTGGAAACAGTGTTTAGGCAAGTTGACTCTTCTTCGTCAGGCAACAGCATTGCCGTTACGAAGTAAAGTTCACTTGTCAAAACGTTGGTTCCAACAAGGCTTTCTGCAAAAAAATTTTAAAAGCGTTTAGTCCCTCACGTGTATTTGATTGACAACATACAAAGTAGAGAATCACAAATTTTGAAACTGTGGCGATGTGAACTTTTGAAACTGTTGAGTATGAAACTGAGCACTGATAAGTAGAAGCGCATGCTCATTTCACGGAATTCAAATGAACCTCCTACTTACCACATTAGCAATCTTGCTCTTGAAACTGTGTTCTCCTATAAGTACCTCTGTGCTCACGTTTTTCTAACCTGTGCTGTGATACTTATATTGATCAACTCATAAATAACACTAACTGCATGCTTGGGTATCTTCAACAAATTTTTCTCGTTCACCCACTTCAATAAAATTTCTGCTATACAAAACAATGGTTTACTCGAAATTGGAATATTCTGCATCTGCTTGGAGCCCTGGCATTGATTCACTCAATTCTGAACTGGACGCTGTGCAAAACCATGCATTTTGTTTCATACTCTCTAACTAGCACCGAATAAAATTGTAACCAAAATAAAATCAAGTTTATCCCTCTCTTCTCTGTCTCATCGCAGTACTTTGTCTTCATTATGTCTTCTCAATAAAATTTAGTATTGGCCTACCTGAAAAACAAGTTACTGACAACACCCTCATATATATTAGCTCGCATTGATCATCAAAATAAAGTTGGAATTCTATTATGTCATACCAAATGTTCTCATGACTCATTCATACCTAGACCTTGTGTCAGTTGGAATAGCCTTCCCCTCTACATCGCTGACATAACTGATATTGATTTAGGATGACTGCCATTTGGGCGTGTTGGTAAAGGTTCTTGACGAAACAAACGCTAAAAATACACACACTCTAAGTACATTCGTGCAGTCACAGTTAAAGCGCTCGTCTGGGTCCTCTCTGAGTGTGGTTAATTTTTAGCGCTTGTTTCATCATAGTAATATTTGTTCCGTAAAATAATTGCTATTTTGTGAATATATTTATGTTTGTTAATGCTTGTATATTTTTTTCTCATTATCAAAATTGCTCTCTTGTACTCCTGCTGCAGCTTCATTTCTTTATTTGTTCTGATGTGAGTTTTGTCCATACACTTTGTAGTTTTTTTCTTCATGCTTTGATGTGTTTTTTTGTTTTATTATGTATCTCCACTCCCCTCTGTAATGCCTTTGTGCTCTGGGGCTACAATAAATAAATAAACAAAACGTTTTTGAGCAGCACGCAGCCTATAATTACTTTACATTGTTTAAAGTACAAGCCAAAACTAAAATAAACTAAAACTATGTAGCCTAGCCAACTCAAATTAAAGCCTTTCAATCAACGCAATTTTGCGGCGGGAGTTTGGCTGCCGCTTACTCTATTTGATTGATTGATTGTTAAGTGGGGTTTAACGTTCCGAAACCACGTAGTGAATATGAATAATATGGGGAGTTTAACATCCCGAAATCACCATAACATTATGGGGGAGGCCATAGTGGAGTGCTCTGGAAATTTTGACCACCCGGGGTACTCTCACGTGAACCCAAATCTGAGCACACGGGCTTACAGCATTTTTGCCTCCATCCAAATAGCAGAAGCCGAATGCCTTAGCTACTTGACCACCACTGCAGGGCATCTTCACCGATAAGTCAAGTGTCACTGCATTTCTCTCAGTGCAGTTACCCTTGCAGCCCTTGCAGAGAGCTGGCTTTACTTATATGTCCTCATGGAAAATAATGGCTAGAATTTTTCGTACTCACCTATTGTCTTTAGGAAATGCTGAAAAACCTTCGTGGAACGAGAAATCCCCGGGCTAGCACACGGCAGACTCAATAAAAGATTGTGTTCCTAATTAAGCCATCTTGGACAAATGCATGGTTGACTTTTTCGGTGTAGCACACTGCGCCTTTTGTTTTCTGCTTGCAGGACTTTGTCTTTATCTCCAAGTTGACACGCCCACCAACTAACTGAGCGCGATCTGGCTTCTAACGTAACTGAGTGAGGGTGAAAAGGAGCGGATGCAGATACTACGAATGCAAGTCAATCGCTTCGCACGCTTCGTCTGACTAAAAATTTACAAAGTAAAGAATAAGAAAAACATATAAACAAAAAGAGAAGTTTACAAAGTTGCCTAATATTCTTTTATTTTTAAGAAGTTGTGAAAGACAATAAATGCGAGCATTACCATTTCCTTCAGTTCGTTCATTAGAGTGCCCAGTACCAGCTACGAGCGTGCATGTTCTCTGAAACCGAAACTAGCGTTGAGTTTCGGGGTCTGGTATATCTTCGAGCTCTTTTGTGAACACGACTGCTTTCGCCATATTTCGTGTCATCTTATGCATTCACTGGTATGTGTACTAAGTCACAGGCTCATGGAATTTATACTGGCTGGCTAGTAGGTAGCCATGACCTCGTTAAGTCGTTCGTGACACAGTTGCTCATCTTGCATCGCTCTCAATATGTCAGACGCCAACTCACTGTTTGCTTCACTAACTTAATAAGTAGCACGTTATAAATGAGCTAACTTGATCGTTTCTCCCATGTATTTGCTGTAGAAAGTATTTGAGTCTTCAGCACACCTAGCCACGTATTTCCAAACACGCAATAGCGAGCAAAAACGACACGCACACATAAGCAACGCTCTGTTTGCCGCCTTGACAGTAGAGTGGGCGTTTACACTGCCTGCACTAGCGATATATTTTGCAATTTAGGAAAATAAAAGATTGTCACTGATATGTTTGATACGTGCCTTCACCACCTACTGGTGCATGATGTGGAGCAGAAGCTGCTCGACAGCGGTGAGCGAGGGTTCCCTGCAAAAGACAATTAGTCAACCATGAATTCTCCACATGTCAAAGAAGAAAGCAGACGTTTAGATCTCATGGTAAAGTAACTCTAAATACCTCCGTAAAAATACCGAACATTAGACAAGCAGCTATCTATATCTAGGCCTCAGTCAAAAGCAGTTCTATTGCTCGACCTTATATGTGAATAAAAAGGGAAGCAGACCACTAAGTTCCAAAATGTAAGCCCTGAAATCATTGTGCCTTTCCACAGACCTCGAAGCACTTCGTACCTAATGCATCCCCATAACACCCTGTGCTTCATTATTGTAACATTTTCCTTTTCTTTTGCTGGTGATGCTTTTTCCTGTGCACCCTTATATCTATCTCCTCATTTAGCTATACACCGAGGTACTTGTACTCTCCTATATCTGGTATGTCCTAGCCCTTTATTGAGACCTGCCTGGTCTTCTTGACGACTGAATACCATCTAGCGACATTTTGCTGCAATAAATCCTAGTCGTAGAGCCTTGCCTTCCATTCTGCTTATATCGGCCAGCCGCTTTATAACATCTTGAGTGTGCGCAAATGGGACAATATCGTCTGCATAAAATGGGCCTAGAAGCTTCTGCTCAACTATTTCTCAACCTGTTTGTGTGAGAGATTAAGCTGAATGTTGCAACCTTCCAAGCGCTTTTTTCGTCTTCATCATCTACAGCATGAATAACAGCGGCGATAAAGGACATCCCTGTATCAGCCCCTTCTTTATTACAACGCTGTGATTGCATATTATTCCTTGGCATTTCGTGCAAACTGTACTTACTTGGTATATTTCTCTCAAAAGCTGTATACAGTCGTCACCTATGCCCTCTTCTTTCAATATGTCCCACTAAATTTCCCGAGTAACGTCGACATATGTCCTAGGAGTGTCTATATAGGCTGCGTATAATGGCTGTTTTTTATTTTAAATATTTTATGAACTGAGCAAAAACAAACAGGTTATTGTCCAACCACCTGTTGATTCGGAATTCATTCTGAAGTTGTCGAAAAATATCGATATGCCCTGCCCACGTTTCTATGTTTATATTTGCTGTCTGTATCGCCAACATATATGGCACAGATGTAATGGTTAGCGGTATATACAAACGAATGTTATCCTTTTTTCCCTTGCCTTTATAGATGAAGCTCATTCTACTTTTCCGCCAAGTGTCTGATATTTCCTTCACCTGTAAGCATGTTCTTGTGAATTTCAACAGTGCTTGTTAGTGTTATGCCCTAGTCCGTTATTGAGGCAGGCGGGAACGCCATCAAAGCCCGGAATAGTGCGCTTACGAATTTTACCTTTGCCCTTCTTCCAATAGAAATTTTGAAGTACTTGGTTACACTCTTTTCCATACTCTTATTCAATAACTAATTCCCCTGGGCCACCTCATTGAACGAATCTGCTGTTACATATCAGATATAACCTATAGTGATTCAAACTCTTCCAATCGATTTCCTCTGTTATGTGCCAGTTTTTTCTGCACTGCGATAGACTTTCTACCAAGTGCTTTTAAATCGATATAATTTATTCTAGGTGTAGCCTCCTCTTTTTCGCAAATCTCTGTCATCCTGTGTTCACTTTCCCTTTTAACTTTTACCTCGACAAATATTTGCAGAATATTTTTTTCTCATAATATTTATTTCGTTTATTGTTGACCTCATGCTGTGCCCGCTTATTCCTTTTTGCTTTTTTGTGTTCCCTTCAGGTCTCACGTCATTTCTAGATCGTTTTCCGGTTTTTTATGTTTCATCAACATTTTTGCTTTCTTTTTCCTTTCAAGCAAATATTTTCTTCTGTTTTCCTATCTCCCTCTTCATTGCATGTAACACTGCGGTACGTTGCACGGCGTCGTGACCCACCACCTATATTCACAAAACAGCCAAAAAAGCGCGAAGTCGCAATCCACTATATAGAGAGATCTATCTATCTATCTATCTATCTATCTATCTATCTATCTATCTATCTATCTATCTATCTATCTATCTATCTATCTATCTATATATATATATATATATATATATATATATATATATATATATATATATATATATATATATATATCTGTCTATCTATTTATCTATCTATATATCTATCTATCTATATATATATATATCTATCTGTCCCTCTGTATTTCTATGCATCTATCTATCTATTTATCTATCTATCCATCTATCGACCCGCCTTAGTCTGGGTTTTCTCGTGATAACTCCCTTTACTTGGAATAAACCAAAATTAGTATTCGAGGGTAAGGTGGTATTTGCAGTATGACTCGATGGTCTGACATCACTATTTTAACAGTCCTCTCGCATACGTCGTCGAACGCTTTCCACCTGGCACTGAAATATACATGAGGGAGGCTATGTTTCATTGTACCTGCCACAAGTATTTGACACTGTATATCTATCAATAAATGGAGAGAACACAGAGTATTTTATCACGCGAATGTTAACGAAATGCTGACATGGGCAGTGTTGCCTCGCCACGGTGGTTTAGTGGCTAAGGTACTCGGCTGCTGACCTGCAGGTCACGGGATCAATTCCCGGCTTTGGCGGCTGCATTTCCGCTGGAGGCGGAATTATTGTAGGCCCGTGTACTTAGATTTCGATGCACGTTAAAGAACGCCAGGTGGTCGAAATTTTCGGAGCGCCCTACTACGGCGTCTCTCATAATCATATGATGAATTTGGGACGTTGAACC